AAAGTTAGCTAATTGACTGTTGTTCAAACAGTTTTTCATTGTGGTTTTTCCCCATAATCGTTTCGAAGTTTACATGTTGTCAGTTCCTTTTCTTTTGTGCACGCCATTCTCATTATTCGACTTTGCAATTAGAATTGTTTTTTATATAATATATAAAACTTATGCATTTTGTGTGTGTCCGTTTAGTAACAATTTGTTGCTGTTTCTTGCAGTAGTAGTAATTGTTTTTTTTTCTTATTTCGAAGCCTCACAGCGTGGGCATATTGCGCCTGCCATTACTGCTGCTGGTGCTGGCATCTCCGCTACCCGCTGCTCCGTCCTGTTGCGCCTTTTGCTTGGCACGTCGCACCTTCTGACGCGTATGCTCTATTTGAAAGTCCTCGACACGTAAATTGAGCCGCATCATATTGTTTATGATGAATTCCTCCTCCATAATGTGCTCGGGCGGGGAGCGCAACACAGCGAGCGTTTCACACAAGCCTGTGCACGTTTTGCGCACCTTGTGCCGGCTGAGCGAGGCGCCAATGATGACCAGGGCCACCTTGAAGATGACGCGAATGCCCTCCGCGAGAAAGCAATCCCAGACACGTAAGAGCGTCTCCCAGGGCAAGGTGCGAGTCATGGCGCACAGAAACCAATCGGTCATATAAAGCAGCGGCTCCACTTTGTGCTTCTGCAGATGACGATAAACGGGCGGGCAGGTTTTCTTAAGCAGGCCCTCCAATATGCCCGCATCGTTTTGTATCACCTCGAGACCAGGTATAAAATAATCCTGCAAGTAACTGTACGGGAATGAGCGGTTGTTTTAATTGAGATTTTTGAGTTGGACTACTTACACATCACATACGCTTACAAATACCCAAAAGGCATCCTCTGCCGGCAAATGCATCAATAGGAATGCGGCTATTGGAGCTTGCGCTTGACAAAAGCCCACCTTGGGATTATATATCGAATAGGCCTTCAGCACATTGAATAGCTCGATTTGGCCCACCTTCTGCTCGTCGAGAAACATTTCGTGAAACGGAAACTGACGATGTTTATCCTTTTTGATCTCCTCTATGGTCGAGGGATTGCCCGGCTTCTTGAGCAGCTCCACGTATACATTTGGATTCTTTTTCTTCAGCAAATACGCGCCGGATAGATAAAACCAAGCCCTGGGACGCACAGATTTAGGTATCCCCTTGCGGCATCTGTCGCGTATCTGTGAAAGTAGTGGGATTTCGATTGGGTACATTGGGATATATTGGGATTTTTGTTTTATATGGCTCACCAACCTTTTTATAGTTCTTGGACATATAAATGGACCAATTCTCAATCATATAAAGCCATTTCTTTTCTCGCGCTATGATTTGTGCCTTTGATAGCGGCTCTTTGGGTTTGTCGGTGCGCTGGAATCCGCCATAGAAACCATTGCGATCGGGGCAACTGGACACTGTGGAGCATAGCGAGATGGTATCCAAAGCGCGCGGTGGCGTTGCCATCTGTGTCGAATGTGCTGGGCAGAACGATATCAAACTAAATCCATAAATTATTACAAAACTAAAATACGCCCACATTAAAGCACGTAAGACTGAACTTATCGATATTGCTCAACAAGAATATGCCCTGTATTAAACTCCCTATTAAACATATTGGTTGATACACAATACAAAGAATTCTTCTTTCTAATCAAAACTGTCCAAAAATTCATTTATTTGATTATAATACAAATATAATCTTTAAGAATGTGTATATTTATATTTGCCTAATTTAGATTTCTTGCATAAGCTTATTATGCCTGGCTTACATAAGGGTACAGGGTATAGAAAGAAAAACAGCTTAGCTTATTTCTAAGAGCGTGTAGGCGGACTGAGAGGGCGGCTATGAATAGAGAGAGAGAGAGAGGGAGAGAGAGAGAGGTTGCGCACCCAAGTACTAAAACATAAGACAATTTGCATTAATAATCTGATGTTTGTATCTGCACAATAACAAAACTGCGCAATTAAGTGCGATCAACGTGAGTTTGACAATCTCTCAATCATTCTCTCAATTTGGTTCGTTTAGCACAACTTGGGCAAAAATTACTCATAAATAGTATATAGAAAAATATGTATGCATACAATCTATTCGGTTAACTCGCGAGATATGATTGTTATTGTTTATTTATAATATTAACTTATCAGAAGATAACTTAGATAATATTGCACCTTGAATATTTGTTTTTTTTTTTTTTAATATTTTTATTTTATTTATATGCCCACCTCATTCGATTGAGCTGCAGCAGCTCCTCCAAGCTGGCGCTTCTTTTTCTGTGATGCACGCGGATTAATGGAACCATCGTAACTAATTGCACATTCGCCTATGCGAAACCTAAAAGCCCAAACCAAATTGACGGACGGACAGACAAAAGGACAGACACAAGAACAGGTGGCACAACTGTTTTAGTTAGGGAACCACTATATATATGTATATAGGTACCATACCAATGTAAATTAGTCAGCAAAGGTTTTGAAAAGGGGAATAGTAACGCATAAAATATAGAACACAGAGTTCCATTGATCTACGATACGTGATTCAATACATATAAACTGTTAGTTAATTCAATTTTCTAGTATAATACAAGAATTTGAAGTACAGTGATCAGAAAAACAAACAAGTAGTATTAAAAAGCAAGCATTTGAGCGATATGTGGTTTTGTAGTAAGTGTTGAGTTAACAAAAATTCAACATGTTGCAGTATTAAATAATTTGTAAGTGAAGTTAAAGTTAAAGCTCAAGTCAAAGTTGGAGCTGAATAAAATGAAGAGGTTCTAGTCGGGAGCTCCTGACTAGGGAATACCCTGAACCCTCTTATTCCAACACGAAATGAAGTTCGCGCAACGCGCTCGTTTGAAGTAATAAAGATAAATAAAAACAAAAATTTCCCTGGCAGGGTTCGCACTTGCAATTGAACACATTGCTTGCTGACGACTCTACTAAACAGCTACACCAGCCAAAAAAAAAAGTTCCACCGGTAGGGCTCGAACTCGCGACAGAACGCACCACTTGCTGTGTCTTTACTCAACAGACATAGCAATCATTGTGTGTTGAGAAAAAAAAAACACGAATTAAAATAGCAGCACAGAAAACAATCGAAACTGCAATGCTGTTGATAGAATTCAAAGCAGACGCGCATTAATGTGTGTGTGTACATGAATACAGAAATTCTTGCAATTCGCGCTAGCTGCCCCATCCAATTGCGCAGTAAAACATAACTTTTGCTTTTTCTTAACCGATCTTAATGAATGTTCAGGTATATATATCCTTCTGCCTGTTACACACATTTGGATTTTGCACAAATTCAATATACCCTTATACCCATTTTTAATGGGTTCAAGGTAAAAAAATATATATAATATTCTAGAAGCAACATATCATGTTTGGTGACTCTAGATCTTAATTTTTACCCAATTTTCTTAAATAACATTATGTAGTTATCAATTCTTATCGATTGCTTGGAAACGGAGTAAGTTATCTATTATCGGAAACGCACTCGATCTGCGCAGGCATTAGGAGCACCTACATCTAATTTCAAGTATCTAGCTCTTATAGGTTCTGAGATCCTTGCGTTCATACATACGGACAGATGGTCGGACGGACAGAAGGACAGACGGAACGACAGACACACAGACGGACATGGCTAGATCGACTCGGCTATTGGTGCTGATCAAGAACATATATACTTTATGGGGTCGGAGATGCTTCCTTCTGCCTGTTACATACATTTGGATTTTGTACAAAAACATTTCAATGGGTTCAGGGTATAAAAAGGAAGCGCGAGTGTGGCCACGCGACCTCTTATGAGTTACTTTTCCAGTTGGACGCCGGAAGCTCCAACTCAAATTCCAGCTGTCGCCTAAGCTCACGTTGCAGCTTGAGTTTGCGTTGATAATGACAGGCGACTAACTAATTGGGGCAACTGTGTGTGTAACTGGCTTTAAGTGCCCACTGAATGCTTAATTGCAAAACAAAAAGCGAGTAAACGAGCGCAAGAAAGGAAAACAAACAAAAGTGCAAATGCAGCAGCTGCAGGGCAAAAAGAAAGTCACTGCGACACAATTCTGATGGGAATCGCGAGGCTGGCGAGGTCGTGTTGTTACTATGCTTATCAACACTAAATATTTCATAGCTCTAGTTAGACCAAGTAAGTTTGAAGGTTTCATTGAGTAATATAAATACACATACACATTCATACGTCACAGAAGCGGCGGCCCACCCACCAAAAGCTCTCGCTTTGCTCTTGGCTGCCATTTTGCCTACGCGCTCCAAAAACAAGTGTCACTGTGTGCTACTATGGCGGCTGTGATTGCTTTTCTATGAGTGTGTGCGTACAATACTGAGCAATTGTTATTATTAACAGCACGCCACCCTCAGCCACCTCGCCCCCTTCCCCTTACTAATTTCACACATTCACGTACACTTTTTGCTTACCTTTCGGTCTGCTTGTTCTTGTTGGTTGTTGTTGTTGTTTTTGTTGTTTGATGGAACTGAATCGTTGCCGTGGAATGCGCAATAGTTGTTTTCACGTTTAACTTTCTATGCTTTCTTACGTTTTTCGTTTCGTTTTACACACACACACACACTGCGCCCGCACAAATGTGTTGCATTTATTGTGTTGGTGGAAACACTGTTTTCCAATTAGATGTTTGTTTATTTCCTACATAAACTGGAAAGGGAGAGGTAGCCATCGAAATAAGAGTTGCTTTGTTCTTCCATTTGGTTAATTGGCTACGGTTATATGCGTTTACAATTTGTTTAACCGCACCGTTTGGTTTGGCACAAAATTATTTGTTAATTTGGCAAATTTTTGACAATATATAGCTTTGTGTGGAGCTGCGTGTTGCGCGATATGAACAGCCGAGCAATAAGAGATGACATATCGTTCGCCTTTGTGCGAGTGCAGCATTGCATAAATATCGATAATACGATAAGTGTCAGGTGTCGATTTAACATTACCAGAAATATGTTATAAGTTAACAGATCTTTTCCGCGCGCATTATTGGTGCCAACATGAAGTTGTTTAATAGTACATTATTTTAATAGATATGCACGCTCCATTTGGGCAGCTGTGGCGTTTCTATTGCGTGTTCGCCCAGCATAAAATGCGCCAAATAACATAGCAGCAGCAAAAAAAACGGTAAAGCTTGCACAAAACTAAAATGGAGAAAGGAAACCAAATCCTCCCACCAGATGTATCCAGAGCGCACATGAAAAAGGAAAACAAGCGCCATGACATTGCACATGATGAGCAGTCTGCGGAAGATTTCTTGTCGATATGGCCAAGCAATCTCGCAATTGGCACAAATGATGACGAGCAGTAGCAGAATCGGCAAAAGGAGCTTCAGAGCAATCAGGGCTCCATTGACCAGCACCGAGTAGCAACCAAAGTTCGCGAAACGCATATAGAAGCGAAATCTGTCCACTGCCTTTATGTTGCCAATAACAAACAAGGAGTAGCAGCTATAAAGCAGCATGTACATTGCCAGTGTGATATTTCGCCTGATTCCAGCGCCGTGCTCCTGTTTAAGGCGCAGCGCCAGTTGCAGTTCCATAGTCAGCAGTTGTATGACTAAGGACTCGTAAGATGTACAGATCAGTGCATACAACGTGCTTAGATTGTAGACGATGACCTCGAGGCCTTGCTGTCGATAATACGGATAAAAGACATAGCATGCATACGCACGGGCGATCAGGTGCAACATCCGCGCCTGCGAACTAAACAAGACATGTAGCGCAGCCGTGAGCAGCACAAGGCCATTGCAAATCAGCGAACGTCTGTGCAGGGCTGAGGCCCAGTGCAGCGAGCGACAGACAAGGGGACGTACAAAGGTAATCAGCAGACTAACTAGAAGCCAATTGCGTTGCCAATAGCCCAGCGCCGGCGGCAGCCAGGATAATGCTGTTAGCGCGCAGACGTGCAATAACCAGAGGAAAGCGCTGCGGGAGCGTTGCATAAGTGCGCAGCGATTGTGGTAGCAGGCGAAGCCTAGGTAAATGAGCGCTATGAAGCGGCGAAAAAAGAAGCCAACGACACAACAAAGCGCCATTAGCATGGATAAGAGCTGGTGCCTGGTCACGCGACACTCCACGTTTGTTTCCATCGCCCGCGTCCAGAGCAGGGTAGGCAGCAACAGCAAGCCACTCGTCAGCCAGGGCACACGCTGGAGCAGCACAAACAGAAGCAGCAGAAGCATGACTAGATGCAAAAGCGCCCTGCACAGCAGCAGCTGCAGACCGCCCCAATTGGCTGTCGGAACGCCGCACAATTGCAGCAGCCAGCCCAAGAAAGCACATGCGCTGGCAAGAAGCAATCCACGACGATAATAATGCACATAGTAATCGATGCACTGTAGCACCGTGGGCATAAGATTGCCGCTGTACTCCGTCAGCGTGAGGAAGCGTTGCTGGCGCCACAACAAATTGGCGTTGTTCAGGAATGACTTTAGCAGCTGTTCGTTTAGCCAATGGCTGGGCATCAGGTTGGACAGGAGACCACGACTATGTTGGTGCAAGACGTACTGGGCCTGGTTGAGCAACTGCTGCGCGTTGTTGTATGTGGCGTGTGCCTCATGCATGCTGTCATTTAACAGACCCGCGGACAGCTGGCCACGATTGTGTACGGGCGTCGGCAAACCTAATAAGCCGCTCATTAGCGGTGTCAGCTGTATGGACTCAAGAATGTGCAGCGGCAGGCGTTGACCCAGCTCGTTGGCAACAAAGCTGCGACCTGGACCGGCACTGATATGGGCGACACCGGCGCCCCAAAGTACAAATGGTGTTTCCAGCTCCTGATTGCTGCTGCCATTGCTATAACCTGTAATATTGCGGCTTGATCGGATTTGCCCTGTTTCATCTGTTGACTGGTAGCTCACCTTTCTCTGGTCTGCCATGATCGGACGTCAGTAAATAAGCAGTGCGTTGATCAGGAAATGCATGTTCAAATCGCTGATAGATGGTCCAGATCCGACGTTGCGTATAGTTAAGCTGTTCCTGGTACATACGGAATCCAGTTGCCTCCCGCAGGCTCAACAGCTGCACAAAGAACACCACACCCTGAAGATGCTCCAGCTGGGACGCCTTGTTTCGCAGAAAATTTCGGACTGCTTGAAATGCCCACTCGTCCAGTTTGTAAGAGCTAATGCCCAGGCCCGGTATATTCGGTGGATGTGTGTACACTTCATGCACAGCTGGAAAATGTTGCAGCAGATCCGCAGAGCCCCAGGCAAAGCTGCGTGTGCTTCGATTGAAGATGGTGTCAAAGGCGATGCCATGCAGCCCAGCCAGGTAATCCTCATAACGACCCGAGAAGAGCGTCAGATGCGCCGATCGGCATTTGCTGGCCACACGCACACGATTTATGCCCACCTGGCCTTGATGCAGAAAGATCTTCTTCAGCTGAGGCACATTACGGCAGCGTTGTTCAAAGAACACCTTGGCGCTGAGGTCATCGATTACGAAGACCACCAAGCGATCGGCGGGCGCATATCTCAGCAATGTCTTTTGCGGCTCTAAGCCCGTCAGGATCGTGGACTGAAAGTAGATGACGTACACGGAGCTCAGCAGTAGCAGCTGCGCAACGAGTGCATGCCCGTAGGTAATCAGCATTTCGAAAATATTGTGTTTTATATTTCTTTGAGTTGTCAAGAGCTATTATGTCAGTATGAATAATTTTTGAGCTAAAATGTTGCTCTGTTTACTTTTGTTTTCTTCCTGGTCACATTTAAGCTTCTTTGATCTAACAAAACTTAACTAGTGCTATTTTTATTTAGACCCCGCCTGTGCATGGAAATACGTCAGGTACCCTGGTACACAGTACACATTACACATATTGTTTCGACTTATAGATGTTATATAAAAACTAGGGCTTAGAGGCCTACGCATAACAGGTACAAAAGACCTTAAAGATTGTTGTTCTATAAAATTCTTTAATTTTTTAAGTTTTAGTTGCTCAATAATATAATTTTATTTTGTTTATTTTCGGATACGTTATATCTTTCTTTTTGCTTGTGCTAGGTTTAATTCCCGAACGTTCGCCCATAGAAAAATTATTTAAACAAGAAATTTTCAAAAGAGGAACTGCTAGCAGCTGACACTCCCTTAGAGCACTTTAACTTGCTTTGTTTTTAATCCTTGAAATTTCTTGAAAGAAAGCAAGCTGTGAACTTTTGCCTACGGCAAGAATTCAACTAATATACTCAATCATTAATAGATCACCTATGTAAAAGTACTGTTTTATTTATTGTTTTTTCAAGAATGTGGAAACTTTTGGCCCTGTTGGTGCATATACTGCTGCTCGGATTTTTGACGCTGATTTATTACAAGACATCGATAATCAATGGCATGCGACCGCAGGCTGGGCATCGTGAGTTGGGCTTGGAGCCGCCAGCAGATCGTCTGGTTGTATTCCTTGTCGATGGATTGCGTGCCGAATCATTGTTCCGGCACAATTTAAGTGCCGTGCCGCAGCTGAAGAATATGTTTTTGGAGCGGGGACTGATGGGAATATCGCGTGGCAATGCTCCAACCGAGACGCGTCCAGGCCACATTGCCATCTTCGGTGGCTTCAACGAGGATGCTGCGTCGGCCATGACGAACTTTAAAAGCAATCCCACGGTCTTCGATACGGTGCTTAATCGCACGGCGGGAGCTACGTGGGCCTGGGGCGCCAAATCTGTGCTGCAGTTTTTTAAGATTTTACCTGACGGTGGAGTGCCAATAAATTTGGATATGCACACCCCATTGGATTTTACAGAAAGCTATCAACGTCATCAGTGGATCTATGATAAGGTGCGTAAATTGCTAGATAACCTGGACTCTGAAACTGCTGGAAATAAGTTGCCTGCGGTTTTCCTTGTGGATTTTGAGAATATTCATAGCGTTGTCAATGCGTCCAAGACAAATCGCAAGGAGTTTTTAAAGGCTATCGACAATGCAGAAACCGTTGCTAAGCTATACGATTTATTTGAGCACATCTTTGAGGATAGCCGTACGGTATACCTTCTGACATCCGATCATGGCATGACCGACAAAGGTAGGTACTCATTTCTTACTTATGCTCTGCATGTAATCTGCATTGTTAATTTAGATTAGATTATTATTATTTAAAATGTTGCACATATTTAGAAACTAAGTTCGTCAAATTTCATGCTAACAATGAACATGCTAAAATGCCAGCCAATATTGCTTGTTTAACATCAACTGCGCTTGCAAATGTTTTGTTAACTTTGCAATTAACATGTAAAAATGCTGAAATTATTACTGCTTGCAACATTTAATAGACTATAACCTTACAATGAACCTGTTTCATTCATTCATCGTGCTTGCAATTTTTACCAGACAGTAACACTTCGCAACTTTACAATGAACATGCGAAAATATCTCCTATAAATATGTCGCCCCTGTAGGTACTCACGGCGGCGACAGTCAGTTTGAGATAGAGACGCCCTTCGTCTTTTGGGGTGCTGGCATAAAAGGTGTGGAGCCTCCCATTAGAGGAGTTCAGTCGATCAACAGCGATGCCTTTCCGATGCAATTTCAGAAAATGAAGCAAACACAGCTGGCGCCGTTAATGTCCGCCCTGATTGGATTACCGCCGCCGATGAATAATCGTGCCATGTTGCCGCTGGGCCTGATGAATGTGAGCGTAAAGTACGAGGCGTATTCAATGCATCTAAATACACTGCAAGTACTGGCGCAGGCGGAACGCGTGCTCGAACTGAAGCAGCGTAGTCAGATCTACAACTGGTTGCCCAGATTTGAGCGTCTCGATCGACGACGCATACAACAATATAAGGAGCAATTCCACAGGCAGATGCAATTGGGGTGCGGAAATGACGCGATGATATGCAGCCAGGAAATGATACATTTGGCATTGGAATGCATTGAATACTACAGAGTATACTATCGCATACCCTTGGTGGTGGCTTGCCTGGCAACCTATCTGGGCTGGTTCTACTATTTGCTGGCCAAGCAGACTCGCTCCATGAGTGCGCCTAAACATCATTGGATTAATGCAACCAATATAATGCTTCTGCTGCTGGAGATTGTGGTGTTGCTCGCCTGTTACTTGGATCGGGTGCCTTGCTGCATCAGCTTCTATTTGCTGGTGCCACTGCCCGTTTGGATGTTTGCGTTGCAGGAGCGTGGCATAAACAGTGGCTGCGTGCGTGCGCCGATCATTCAGCTGGCCTGGATTGGCGGCACTGTGGTGCTGCTGATTGGTACCTATTTCTTCAAGCAGCTCATCTCGCTGGGTTTTTTGATTGTGGTCTGTGCGAACAATGGGCGCGCCTTTACCCGTGCGCCCAGGCTACGCTTTTGGTTATGGCTTGCGCTTGTCGCCCTGTTGACTGGGTTTACGATAAAGCGTCCTGATTTTGGACGCAACAGTCCGTATCTACTGTGCCTAAGCATGCTGGTGACAATGCTGCGCCCACTGTTGCTGAGCGAGCGGCACGCGTGTCGCGTTTGGCTGATTAATGGCGCCGCCTTGCTGCTTGGCGCTTACCTGGTGCATCAGCGCCTCTGCAAAAAGGAGCTCAGTCCAGTGCTGCAGGGCACTGCCTGGGGCTATGTGTGCTATGCCCTAATCTCTATACCCTATAGTGATACGAAGACGCCACGGCATCGTGTGCAGCTGATACTCTTTAATTTGAGCACAATATACACATTGATGAGCCTGTCGTACGAGTCCATGTTCATGCAATTGCTATGCACAGAGTTCTTGCTGGGTGTTCAGGTGCACGAGGATTATAAGCAATCGGCGGTAGAGGACAGCGAGGACGACGATGAGCAGACACCGGACAAATCGTTGACGCCCGAGGGACATATAAACAGAAGCTATCGCTATGCTGTGCTTATTCTGATATATGCCTATTTCTCTATGATTGGCTCTGGAATTCTGCCGAATATAAATTCGCTTGATGCGAGCGTTGCGCGCATCTTTGTAAGCGAGTGCTCCATAATTTTAATTGGCTTCATCTACGTTCTGAAGCTAATGATACCCATTATTATCATCATGTCAAGCATGTATGCCTTTTGCGCTCATGCCCGTCAGAATCTCTGTGGCATATTTATCTGTATCTTCCTCATCTGTGATGTCTTGTGTCTATACTTTTTCTTCTTTGTCCGAAACAGTGGCTCCTGGCGCAACGTACGCGAGTCCCTCTCCCAGCAGTTAGTTGTGCATGGCCTTCCCATGCTGTTGGCAATATTCTCATGGCTACCCAAGCAACTGCTGAGCGCCATACCATTGACGATGCTGCCCATGCTGCGCTGGAAGAGCGCTATACATTTGGAACAGCCTGGTCAAAGCCAGGCATAAAAATCGGTTTTATCCCTCAATTTGAATGTTTTGAAAATTTAAGTATTTATGTATTGTGAAAAAATTGCCATCGGTTGGATTATCATTAAATTGAAACATTTCATGTACTATAAATATTCTGGGATTTATTAAAGTAATCTTGAAGATAATACTTTAATTGGTTTATTTTGATTTTAAATGCAATACAACAAATTGTTGATTTTAGGCAGTTTTTAGCTTCTGTGATTCCAAATGGGCCTGTAAATGGATGATGGGAATTACTTACATATATGCATGTTGATATTTTGGGAATTGGTTATTTACCTTCTCCGCAACTTTTAACAGATTTTCGAAGGTGCTCTGCCCCGTCTCCATGACCATACTGTGAAAGATTTTCGTCTCACATTCTGTCAGCAACTCGTAGGGTGAACCAAACTCTACCATCTGACCCGCATCCATGACTATCACCTTGTCCGAGTCCATAATCGTGTTTAGCCGATGGGCTATTGTCAGCACTGTACACTCCCTGAACTTATTCCGTATTGTCGCTTGGATGAGTGCATCTGTCTGTGGATCCACATTAGCTGTGGCCTCGTCCATCACCAGGATACGATTTTCGCGAAGAATAGCGCGTGCCAGACACACTAATTGCCTCTGTCCCACACTGAAATTGCTTCCGCCCTCTGAAATCTTGCTTTGTAGTCCACTTGGAAGCTCGCTGATGAGAGGCTTCAGTTTGACCTCCTCGAGTGCATCCCATAGCTTGGCATCACTGTACTCCTCGAAAGGATCCAGATTGTAGCGCATGCTGCCGGTAAAGAGCACCGGCTCCTGAGGTATGATGGAAATTTTGCTGCGCAGGTCGTGAAGTCCCAGTTCGCTGGTGTCACGACTGTCGATGATGATGGAACCATCGTTGTAGGAGAGGCGGAAGAGAGCGTTGATGAGCGAGGACTTGCCTGCACCGGTGCGACCCACAATACCCACTTTTTCCATGGGCTTAATCTCGAAGTTGAGAGACTTGAGCACATACTTGGATTGTGGATCGGGGAAATACCGAAGACTGAGATCATCAGCCACAATTTTGCCCTGCTCTGGCCATGTGATTGGCGGCTTTTTGCTCGGTTGGGACTCATATTCGCCTTCAGGCTCGATCTCATCATATTCCAGGATGCGCTCAACTGCAGTCATTGTTGTGTCCAATTCGGCGGATTGTGTCATGCCATACTGCACCATGCCCGCCAAGCTCATGGCTTGGGTAATGGCCAGCCCAACCTCACCAGGCTGGGTGGGAGGATTAATAAAGTAGTTAAGTACAATGATGATAGTGTATAAGGTGCAAAAGAAGTCCACATAGTAGCCAAAGGCACGACTCGTGGACAAAAATGTGTAGTAACCGGAGCTATGCAGATCCTGAAGATTATCGAACTCGGCAATAAGCGCCTTCTGTGCTCCTAAAGCCCTGATTGTCGTCAGTCCATTAAGTGAGGTGCTGAGATGGGAATAGATGGGAGATCTGGCAACTGCCTCCAAACGCTTCACATCTCTCGAGGTCTTAAGGTAGAATTCTCTGATATAATAGAAAATTATACCCAGCACAAACGTCAGTAACAAATAATAGGGATTGGTTATGCAGATGACCACAAGGACGCCAGCCAACAAGAGAAAGATTTGCACAACATCCAGCATTATGGTTGGCAAGACTTCATCAAGTTGTCCAAGATCCTTCGAGAAACGATTTAATATACGACCAGACGGATTTGTGTTAAAGAAGTACATGGCTGCTCTGGCAATACCACGGAACATGGAATTATGCAGCTCTGTGGAGCTGCGCCTTGCCATCGAATAGAAGATAATTGGACGCATTACGCTGAGCACAATTGCAGCCACATTAAGCGCTGTGAAGTAGTACATGTCGACGGGATCGTAAGCCGAATCTGCGTTGTTTTTATTTTTGTCAACCCTGGGGTAAAGAAAATATAGTTATTCTAAGAGTACTTCAATAACAACAGCGAGTCTTACCAGTAGGAGAGAAACACATCTGCGGCTGAGGTCACGACTTGTGTACCCACACATAGAATGATCATAAAAGTTATCAGGAACAATCCACTGCCTGCTGCAAAGTATTCCTTATAGAGACCTACACTGACTTTGCCCTCGACGCGTGTCTCCTGCGGGACCATGGCCGTGTCCTGAATGACCGAATCAGCCAGGGAGCTCAAGGAAGCAAAACTCTCATTGCGTGAAGCCTGACGGCTACTTTTTGAGTGTAGGCTAACACGATCCCCAGCATCGCTCTTTTGGTCTTCCAGTGCCTTCTCATCTGATTGGTTGATATCGGTCAAGAGCTGTGCAAAGTCCAAGCCACTGTGTTGCATCGTTGCATAGGTTCCCATTGCACTGATTTTGCCTTTGTCCATGATAACAATGAGGTCGGCATGCTCCAGAAACTGCAGCTGATGTGTTACCAATATGACCAGCTCACTTTTCAGATACCCTCTCATGCACTGGTCAAACAGATGACGACCCACGTGCGTATCCACAGCACTGAGTGGATCATCCAGCAGGTAAATGTCCGCTCTACGATACACAGACCTTGCCAGACTAATGCGCGCCTTCTGTCCACCCGAAAGAGAAGCTCCTCGCTCGCCAACAATCGTCTTATCACCCTGCGGAAGTAGTTCAAAGTCGCGTTCTAAAGCACACTTCTTAACCACTGTGCGATAGCGATTCTTGTCCAGGGTTAATCCAAATAATATGTTCTCACGGACAGTCCCAGTGAAGAGCCAAGGCTCCTGAGCTGCATAGGAGTAACTGCCGTTGACTTTAATGCTGCCTTTTTCACCAGGCAGCTCGCCGAGAATGGATTGTATCAGACTGGATTTGCTTGCGCCGACTGGTCCAATCACCGCGACTAGCTGTCGGCGACCCAATTTCAGATTTATATTGTCCAGGGTGTTCTCTGTCGCGTTGGTGTCCCACTTGGCAGAGAACTGGTTGAACTCTACGAGCGTCTCCTCCATTACTCTGTCATTACTTTTTGCCTCAACTCCGTTGTCATTGTTGGTCAGTGTTCCATTTTTCTTATCGCTTAGTTCGTTAGTAAAGCTAGGCACAGTTATTGAATTCGACTTGTCTTGCACCTGAGTCTCCTCCCTTAGCATAAAGGTTTCCAGACGCTTGATGGACACCGTTATCTCAGCTAGTTGCGTAATGCTAAGCGGAAAGAAATTGGTGACCGCTCGCTGCAGCAGATTGTAGTAGGCAGTTATGAAGAAGGCCTCGCCGGCAGTCAACACGTTTCCTAGCAGCACAAACCCCACCAGGCTGACAAACGTAAGGGTACGCGACAGGCACATGCCAAAGGCAATTAGAACTCCGCGTATATAATTGACTTTTTTAATACAGATCATCTCCTTGCGCCGCATGAACTGGATTAGCTTGCCGAGTGGCTTTTCCCATGCGTACATCTTGATCACCTGGATGCCGGAAATAAATTCGTTCATCATTCGCACGCGCTCGTCCGTGCGTAATGCTGTCAGAAGGCGCAATGCAGATGTTTTCTTTGCTAAATAGGCTTGCAGAGGCAGGAACAGCAACATCACAGCGACGCCAAAGAAGGAGGCAACTCCGATCTATTGTTATAATCGCATAAATAGATAATTCTTAATAGGATCACATTAAGTTACCTTTTGATACATAAAGAATGTAACCACAAATAATTCCAGTGGAGCCAGCCATAAGAAGTGAACATTGAGGAGGATCATATCAAAGCGTCCCACATCGTTGGAAAGCAGATTCACAACCTGACCTATCGATGTATCCCCCAGAGCTGTATGGCTCAGGCGCAGCGCCTTCCTATAAACTAGACTGCACAGTGAAACGCGCATTTTCATTCCCAAATGGAGCAGCCCGAGCAGAAACGGATGTCCAGTAACGACGGAGAGGACAGAGGCAATCATGAGGCCCGCTGCGTATAGCTGTGCCTTTATGGGGTCAGGATCTTCGCCCGAAAAGTATTGCATTATACCATACAGGCACATGGGCTGCGTTACCCTAAAACAAGACTCTCATTAATATATATATTTGGTTTCCAAAGGACCGGATGGCGGTCTACTTACTTTACTATGAACTCTCTGACACCCAGCAGTAACCCAGTTAGAAACAGATGCCAACCAAACACGCGCAGCACAACCCGCCCCAGGCGTGGCTGTTTCTGCTGAGCCGATCTCTCAATTATTTCCTCATCCCATGCCGCGCACAGGCGGTCGCCAAGTACATCTGTGAAAAGGGAGCATATATGTATGTGATGGATTCCAGGATACGACTCGTAACTGCGAATATGTCTATTTAATAGCACATTCTCGATCTTCTTGAGACTGTCTTCTTTTTCTAATATTGTAAGCCAATCGATAGTATCGCAACGGACGATAGTGCAAAGGAGTTAATTTGTTATCGGACTAAAATGAACTAAATTCGGAGATACAATGCAACAACTAGTCTGATTTTAAAAATCTATACGTTTCTTGTGCTCATACGGTTTAAAAGAATTTAAGTTAAATGCCAGTCATTGAATGTTATAAATTTCATTCATCTTTATCTTAACACCTTATTTATTATCTTATGGCATGCCTTACCTGATTTGTGCTCTTTTAGCGGCCGGTATAGATCTGGTTGCTCCAGGGTTTTCGTACGGCCCTTGAATAATACCGGAAAGACAAAGCTTTTCGATGCCATGATACACGCATAAAGAAAGATAAAGTTAATATTATATGGTGTCAAGTAGAAAAAAACACATATTTAAATTTGATGGAAGCCTTACAGCCAAGCAAATAACTACAAAAGATAACTTATATATTTGATATAATATAAGAAATGTGTATTGTATTTATAGTTAACGAAAATATGTGCCAATCACATCGCAGTTTGTACATACTTATTATCAGTGAAGAAAATCAAAAGTTTTATATATATATATATATATATATATACATCAATCATATATGAGAACAGAGTATCTGAGTGTGGACTATATTTGCAGATTCACACTTACGTGCAGTTGTTTTATGTTGTATTTACATACTAGATACCTCAACATTTTACTACAAAACTTATTTGTATATTTTAACACTCTGAAAGATAAGATAATGGTATATCATGCTCAATCATATTGTTCTGTTAATGATTAAATGATATTCGGTGGGGACAAAAAATGAATTGTCATAATTGTCAATCTTATATCTAAAACCATAAGAACCACAAGGCTGGTGAAATTGCAGACTCACCAGAGCATAAGTTCCGAAAATGGGTTGCTCCGTTCGCGCGGATTTTCTGGTAGCTCATCTGCTTTAACTGATTGCATATTGGTTTTGTCTTATTTATTTACCCCGACAAGTGAACCAAATACACTTTACACTTGTGTACAAGCCTATAAGTGTTGAATTACAACAAATCACACATTCAATTATTCGCTTCGATATTCTTTGTATATGTATATATATATTTATATAGTTTATATACCCTTGTTTTGGTTTGATTTTCTCAGCACTCGAGGTTTGGTGCGTGTGAAACTCAGTTCTGTGGAATTTGCTTTTTTAAATTACGAAAATATTCCACTGTGCAGGTTGTTTGTGCCAGAGATGCTGCCGCTATATGATAGACGATTTTAATATAATCAGTAAATCTGAAGTACTCTACGAAACTAACACACTTTTTATATATTTTATATATCACGCAAGCAATTTTTCAGATAACAATATGCATATGTATATTTAATTATTTTTTAAGACACTATTTATCGAATATCTCCGGCCTCTATTCACGCACAGCTGTTCACTCTCCGGCTGACGAACACGTTCTAAATCACAGCTGACAAGCTGGTCCCTTTTATGGGAACAGACAACTGTTGCGGACGCTTTTTGCTCTCTGCGACTCTTACTCTCTTGTACGCGTGTGCTTTTATTGCGCGCTTTACAGTTTATGTAAAACTTATCATTCAATTCATTCTCTTATTAGCTGGCTGATAAGATAATCTAATAAAATTAAGATGAACATACAATTTTCTATGTAAATAAATTTTTAATTTGGATACTCAGTTTTTGCGTATGCCACTTTGAACTGCTTTGCTAGTTATTCGTGTATATTTTATTGAACTGCTTTGTTGTAACGTGGTTAGGAAATCAGAATACTGAAATAAATTTGTCAATACTCGAACATTATTAGGGATGTTTAAGAAAATGCACTTTAATATATTTTCTAATTAAACATTTCAATTCTTTCTAAGAAGTTTTTAGTTTCTGTGATGTCAAATGGGTCTGTTAAAGAAATTTAAAAATTACTTATTTGAATATTGACGCTCGTAAAGTGGATAACTTACCTTCTTCGCAACTTTTAACAGACTTCCGAAACTGCTCTGACCCTCTCGATGAGAGGTCACGTAAATTAAACCAACTGCCCAGCATCCATGACTAAGACCTTCTTCGAGTCCATAATCGTGTTTAGCCGATGGGCTACGGTCAGCTCTGTACACTCCCTGAACTTATTCCGTATTTTCGCCTGAATAAGCGCATCTGTCTGTGGATCCACATTGGCTGTGGCCTCGTCGATAACCAGGATACGATTCTCGCGAAGAATAGCGCGAGCCAGACATACCAACTGACGCTGACCCACACTAAAGTTGGTGCCGCCCTCTGAAATCTTGCTTTGTAGTCCACTTGGAAGCTCGCTGATGAGAGGCTCCAGCTTGACTTCCTCCAGTGCATCCCATAGCTTGGCATCACGGTACTCCTCGAAAGAAGACTGAGATCATCAGTTACAATTTTGCCCTGCTCTGGCCATGTGATTGGTGGCTTTTTGCTTGGCTGGGACTCATATTCGCCTTCAGGCTCGAACTTATTTGTAGACAGAAAAGTGTAGTAGTCGGAGCTGTGCGGATCCTGCAGGATATCGAACTCGACAATAAGCGCCTTCTGAGCTCCCATGGCTCTAATCGTAGGGAGCCCATAGAGCATGGGAGACTTTAAGGCTACCTTTTTCACCGGGCAGTACACCGAGTATAAATTGCGACTAACTGTCGTCGGTCAAATTTCAGATTGATATTATCCAGGGTGTTCTCTGTCGTGTCCCACTTGGTATGAAATTGACTGAATTTGACAAGGGATTCTTCACTACTTTTGTTTCGTTCTTGCCATCCCTGAGCTGTGTTTCCTCCTGATTCATAAAGGTCTCGATTCGTTTAATGCTTACTTGAAGCTCCATTAATTAAGAAATGCTCATCGGAATGAAACTGGTTACTGTTCGCAGCAGTAAGCTGTATTAGGCAGCGATAAAGAAGGCCTGTCCAGCAGGCTGACAAAGGCACATCATTTCATTGCAACGCGTAAGCTCCACAAGTTTGCCAAATGGCTTCTCCCAGTCGTACATCTTGATCAGCATGTTCTATCGCAGATGCATAATGCCCAGCATACAGGGATGTGCTGTGACCACGGAGAATACAGAAGCTGATATAAGGGCCACCGCGTATAACTAGCCCTTAATTGGATCAGAATTCTTGCCCGAAAAGTAGGCCATAACACCAAAGAGGCAAATTGGCTGGGTAACCCTGGAAGAAGTTACACTTTAAGCAATTGATCTTGGGTGTCTTGTGAACTGTCATTTACTTGGTAAGAAATTCTTTGGGGCCCAATAGCAAACCCGTTACAATAGATGCCAGCCGAAGGAGCGGACCACAACGAGCCCCAAGCGAGGTGGTTTCCTTTGAACTGATCTCTGAAGTAGTTCCTCATCCCAAGCGGCGCTCAAGCGATCTCCAAGGACATCTGATGATTAGCTTGAAACTTATTTAGTTTAAAATTGAACTTTCAAATAGAATTTTATATAACACCCAAGTTGTGCTCTTTCAGTGGCCGATATAAATCGGATTGTTTCTGTGTCTTTTTGTGGCCCTTAAACAGAATGGGAAAGACAAAGCTGCTAGGTTTTCTTGCTTCGAATAAGTAATGAAAAGATATTTTGCTTCATTCATGATCCAAGCCGCAAATAAACTACACATTAATAAACGTTGTCTAATCAACAACGCGTCAAATTTAAAATGTATTTCAAATACGTCACACTTTTTTTTTAAAAGGTTGGTGTGAGTGTGGTTAATTGTTGGGCTATTAAGTCTGATAAGTTATCAAAAAATAAAGACTATGTATATGATCTGATTAGAATTAATTTGATGCAACGCAGGGAAACCTTAGCTAGCCTTGAGTCATATTTATTGAGGTGTATTACACACTTGTGTATCGATATGGAATTTAAATAGTCGAAAAACTATTATTGACGCATCTACAAGCCTATTAACTGTGCACAATTGGACTAACTAGAACATAAGCTCTGACAATGGATTGAAACGCTCTCGCGGATTCTCCGGTAGATCAGCTTTTATTTGTGGCATTGTAGATTCTACTATAAATTAATTCACTATAGTTATTTACATACAATTAACCAGTTAATTAGTTAAGTATTTATTTTAATTTTTATGATGTTTACGATCACAAAACGTGGTTTTAAATCTGGGAAAATTCCACTGTGCTTTAAAAGCCGAAGATATCACTGATATTACTATTGTTATGATCTAATCTACTTAAGTATCCAAGAGTAAACAGTTTATGTTGTATTTTTACAGATAAATCTGTATTTCATAATGTATTTAAATCGTCAAATAAAAAAACAAACCTTTTTTAGGATTAATTTATTTTCATTAAGAGTAAAAGTGTTTGTTCTACGGCCGCGGAATTCGTTCTAATATACAGCTAATCGATTACCGCTTTTTATGTGAACTGCTTGCGGTGAGCACAGCTTTTACTCTCTCCGACGCCTTGGAGTTCAACTATGAGTCGTAGTGCTTATCATAATCAGTTGGCCGCGATAAAATGGCCTTATCGTACAACACGTCTATTGGAGTCTGAAACGCTTGACACTGTAGGATAAGATAAACGTGGCGCCTATTATTAGGAACTGAGTTGTAAATATTATTAAATCTGGAAAACCTCAAACAAGTTTGGTAATTTAATGAACTGCTTTGTGCGTTATTTAAATATGAACTGCTTTGTTACTTCTCTTTTGACAATTATACTGCATTGTTATGCTCAGATGGCATTTCCATGTATTGTGAAACTTGTAGCTTGCAACATTTATTTAATCTTAGTTTTACCGTAGCATTACATTCTAAAGTTCGTAGAAATAATACTTTAAGTAGCACATACAAAAACAATCACTTATAGCAGTATAATTTCTATGAGACTTATGCTTAAAGCTAGTCAAATGAGGATATTTAAATGACTGCGGAATATTCATTGGATTTTAGACAGTTTTGGATTTCTCTGATTCCATATATGCCTGAAATTGAATAAGACGTATTACCACATGTCATTTTAATCACAGGAATGATTATTTACCTTTTCAGCTACCTTTAGCAGACTATCGAAGCTGCTCTGACCGGTCTCCATGACCATACTGTGAAAGATTTTCGTCTCACATTCTGTCAGCAACTCGTAGGGTGAGCCAATTTCCACCAACTGGCCAGCTTCCATAACTAAGACCTTGTCCGAGTCCATAATCGTGTTTAGCCGATGGGCTATCGTCAGCACTGTGCACTCCCTGAACTTATTCCGTATTGTCGCCTGAATAAGCGCATCTGTCTGTGGATCCACATTGGCTGTGGCCTCGTCCATAACCAGGATACGATTCTCGCGAAGAATAGCGCGAGCCAGACACACCAACTGACGCTGACCCACACTAAAGTTGGTGCCGCCCTCTGAAATCTTGCTTTGTAGTCCACTTGGAAGCTCGCTGATGACAGGCTTCAGCTTGACTTCCACCAGTGCATCCCATAGCTTGGCATCACTGTACTCCTCGAAAGGATCCAGATTGTAGCGCATGCTACCCGAGAAGAGCACCGGCTCCTGAGGTATGATGGAAATTTTGCTGCGCAGGTCGTGAAGTCCCAGTTCGCTGGTGTCACGACTGTCGATGATGATGGAACCATCGTTGTAGGAGAGGCGGAAGAGAGCGTTGATGAGCGAGGACTTGCCTGCACCGGTGCGACCCACAATACCCACTTTTTCCATGGGCTTAATCTCGAAGTTGAGAGACTTGAGCACATACTTGGATTGTGGATCGGGGAAATACCGAAGACTGAGATCATCAGCCACAATTTTGCCCTGCTCTGGCCATGTGATTGGCGGCTTTTTGCTCGGTTGGGACTCATATTCGCCTTCAGGCTCGATCTCATCATACTCAACGACACGTTCCACTGCTGTCATGGTGTTCTCCAGCTCCGCAGACTGTCGCATGCCCCACTGAACCATTCCAGTCATGCCCATGGCTTGTGTAATGGCTAATCCCACCTCACCAGAGTTTTCGGGAGGGTTGATGAAGTAGTTAAGTATAATTATCACAATGTACAATGTGCAGAAGCAATCCAGGTAGTAGCCAAATGCACGATTTGTTGACAGAAAAGTGTAGTAGCCGGAGCTGTGCAGATCCTGCAGGTTATCGAACTCGGCAATAAGCGCCTTCTGAGCTCCCATGGCTCTAATCGTAGGAAGCCCATTGAGTGAAGCACTGAGGTGGGAATAGATCGGAGATCTAGCAACTGCCTCCAATCGCTTAACATCTCTCGAGGTCTTTAAGTAAAATTCACGAATATAATAGAAGACGATCCCCAGAGCAAGAGTTAGGATGAGATAATAAGGATTGGTTATACAGATAACAACAATTATGCCTATCAGTGTCAAAAAGACTTGAACCACGTCCAGCATGACGGAAGGCAGAAGTTCATCTATCTGCCCCAGATCCTTTGAGAACCGATTTAAAATTCGACCTGAAGGGTTTGTGTTAAAAAAGTACATTGCCGCTCTGGTAATGCCCCGAAACATGGCGTTATGGAGCTTTGTCGAGCTGCGCATGGCCAGCCTATAGAAAAGCATGGTCCGGACGAGGGTGAATACGATGACGGCTATGTTAAGGGCGGTAAAGTAGTAAATATCGATGGGATCCGAGTCTCTTTCCGCGGCGTTTTTGTTCTTGTCAACCCTGAAATTACGCAACATTAGTATGATCGTCTTATGTAGAAGTAGGATTATATATTACCAATAGGAGAGAAAAACATCCGCTGAGGAACCGACAATTTGTGTTCCCAAGCAAAGGAACACCATAAAAGATATCATTAGCCAGCCGGTGCCAGCTGTGAAGTATTCCTTGTATAGACCCAGACTGATCTTGCCCTCGACACGCGTCTCTTGCGGTGCCATGGCTGCGTCCTGGGCAATAGAATCGGTAAGGGAGCTCAAGGAGCTGAAACTTTCATTGCGCGAAGGTTGGTTTGATTTGTTTGTTCTACTGCCACGCCTGCTGCGTGAGGCCAAGCTGAGACGGTCCCAAATATCACCAGCCTCGCTCTCGTGATCATTGGCTGCTTCATCGGTCTTGTTGGGATCCGTTAAGAGCTGTGCAAAGTCCAGTCCACTGCGCCGCATTGTGGTATAGGTTCCCATTGCACTGATTTTTCCTTTGTCCATGATAACAAGGAGGTCGGCATGCTCCAGAAACTGTAGCTGATGTGTTACCAATATGACCAGCTCGCTTTTTAGATACCCTCTCATGCACTGGTCAAACAGATGACGACCCACGTGCGTATCCACAGCACTGAGTGGATCATCCAGCAGGTAAATGTCCGCCCTACGATACACAGCTCTTGCCAGGCTAATGCGCGCCTTCTGTCCGCCCGAAAGAGAAGCTCCTCGCTCGCCAACAATCGTCTTATCACCCTGCGGAAGTAGTTCAAAGTCGCGTTCTAAAGCACACTTCTTAACCACTGTGCGATAGCGATGTTTGTCCAAGGTTAACCCAAACAATATGTTTTCACGAACAGTTCCAGTAAAGAGCCAAGGTTCTTGAGCGGCATAGGAGAATTTTCCATTGACTTTAAGGCTACCTTTTTCACCGGGCAGCTCACCGAGTATGGATTGAATTAAACTGGATTTTCCTGCTCCGACGGGTCCGATCACAGCCACGAGCTGTCGGCGACCAAGTTTCAGATTTATATTCTCTAGGGTGTTCTCCGCCGCCTTACTATCCCACTTGGCATTGAATTGACTGAATTCAACGAGAGTTTCTAGATTCCCATTGACCTTTGGCACATCTCCATTGGCGTTTTTGATAAGAGTGCCATTCTCCTTATCAATAACAGGGGCAGAGATTGCGACATCAATCGATTTGTCTTGGATCTGCGTCTCCTCCCGATGCATAAAAGTCTGCAGACGTCTTATGGACACCAAAAGTTCCGCAAACTGTCCGATGCCTTGGGGAAAAAACATAGTCACCGTGCGCCGGAGTATGTTGTAGTAGGCGGTGACATAGAAGGCTTTTTCGGCTGTCAAGATGTTTCCCAGCAGCACATAGCCCACAAGACTGGAGAACGTGAACACGCGGGAAAGAAACATGGCAAACGATATGAGAATACCACGTATATAGTTGACCTGTTTGATGCATATCATTTCCCGGCGGCGCGTGATCTCAATAAGTTTGCCAAATGGCTTTTCCCAGGCATACATCTTGATCACCTGAATGCCCGATATGATCTCGTTCATCATTCGGACACGTTCGTCTGTGCGCAGGGCCGTACGCAGCCGTAGCACCGAGGTCTTCTTGCCCAGATAGGCTTGCAGGGGCAGGAAGAGCAACATAACAGCGACGCCAAACAGCGCTGAAATTCCTATCTAAGCAAAGAAAAAAAAACAAAGACATTAAAAGAATAATCTTAAATCCCCTTTAGCCCCACTCACCTGCTCATACATGAAGTAAGTGACAACGATAAGCTCCAGTGGCGCCAGCCAGAGGTAATGTAAATTAATCAGTACACTATCGAAGCGACCAACATCATTCGACAGCAGATTCACCACCTGCCCGATGGTGGTGTCACCCAATGCGGTACGGTTTAGCCGTAGAGCCTTGCGATAGATCAAGCTGCAGAGGGCAACGCGCATTTTCATGCCCAGATGCAGTAGACTGAGCATATACGGATGCCCAAATACGACAGTAAACACAGAGCCCGCCATGAGACCCGCTGCGTAGAGCTGCGCCTTGGTTAAATCTGTATCGTCGCCCGCGAAGTAGGCCATCATGCCAAAGAGGCAAATGGGTTGCGTTACTCTGAAAGTGGTTACAATTTAGAAACGAATGATATTCGGAAGTCTTCGACAAGCTACTTACTTGGTGAGAAATTCCTGAGCGGCCAGCAATAAGCCAGTCACGAATAGATGCCAACCAAAGACGCGGATTACCACGCGGCGCAAGCGAGGTGGAAGATTTTGCGCCGATCTGCGTGCAACTTCCTCATCCCAGGCCGAAGAAAGGCGGTCGCCAAGTGTATCTATAGATATTATTATCAGTATTAATATACAGTGTTGTGATATGATATCTTGTGGCATCACTCACCTGACTTGTGCTTTTTGAGTGGTCTATAGAGATCCGTTTGTTCCAGTGTCTTTTGTCGACCCTTAAACAAAACGGGCATAGCAAAGCTTCATGGAGACAGCAGAGATATAAAGCGTATATAGATAAGATGCATACATTTTAATTGTTAGTAAAGATAGGTAAAGACAAGCAAAAGAGCTCTAGTCAACAGCTGGCCTGGCTGACTAGGAGATACTCTATGCATAATTCCAAAGTGGGAATCTTCTTTATTGTTGCAGAGATATACATACATAATATATAACTGAGCGGTTGTACAGAATATTAACAATGACTTTACAGAATGTTATTGCAAGCATCGTTAACAGCTTAAGCTGGTGATGTTAGGAAAATACTGGGTATCTGTCGAGTCACGTAAAAAAATACAGCAACAGTTGTGATATTCAAAAGTCCAACCAAATTTTTGTTGTTTAGTTTATTGACATAGGGATCTATTAGCACCTTGGAAGATAACAGTTTTTATGAAACTCATTTATATATATTTTCAGCAAGTCATTAGACAAAGTCGTATCGGTTTAATGTTGCTATCAAGCTATGCCAAATTCAATTACATATTTTTATGGTGATCAGTTTTTATTAGCCCAGAGCTACGGCTATGGCTGACAGACGATATTAAAGTTGCCTTAAGTGACAGCCAATTGAATAACTTGAAATACTTCACGCAAATATGTGCGTACATGACATATGTGGATATATTTGTATAGCTCACGCTTGGGGTGCTCAACAGCCGGAGCCCAGCTCTGACGCGCTAACTATGTAAATTAAACGACCCAGTGAATACAATGATAACGAACTGGAGGCAGTTGTCACGCTGTCAACCCTATAGCTAACGGCTTGAATTGTGGGGTATACGACTTACCAGAACATCAGCTCCGACAAGCAGTTGGCGCGCTCTACGGGATTCTCCTCCAGCTCATCGGCTTTTAGTGATTGCATTTTGCTCTCTTGCGTTTTACTTTAATTGTTCTAGAAATATTTTTCACTTATGATGCTTTCTAAAGTGTTTTTTAAACTTATTTTTTCTATAATTTTATTTTTTCGGTTTTTTTTTCTCAGATTTGGTGACTTTTTTTCGACTTGATTAGCACCCAACAGCAGGCATTGCAGACACGCGCTTGTCGTTAGTATAATTTATTTAGTTTTTAATAGTGTTTTGCCTTATATGATGCATAGAAACATTGGCATTCAAAATTTTCCACTCATACCATATGCGAACATTCGATAGGGTTTTATGAAAACGTTCCAACGAGCATACTGATAGCTTTGATTTGTTCTTCTCTTGTCTATCAGATGCTGTTCTTATATCATAAATAGCCTTAAACTGATCCACAATATCTTTGGTGGGCGCGCCTTGAATGTGTACAAGTCCGATAGCTCGATTTCATCACTTTTATGTACATACATACATATGTATGTATATGTATATGCGTGTAGACAGATAGATAATGAATTTTTCTTGATGTGCTTTTTTTTAGTTTCACTTATCGAAAATTCTAAACACTGTGTAGATTTATATTTGCTGCGCGCGTTCATTCATTGCTCACGGTCCGAGGGCCGAACTCTTTCTAACGTACAACTCAACCGACTACCGTTGTTTTAGTGTAATTAAACGACTGTTTGCTCTTCGCACTCCATCAAGCTTGCGCTCACAGATCTTCACGCGCGCTCACTGGCTGTGTAGACTCTACGCTGTAGAGATTTTATGTGATCAGCACGAATGCAAACGCTCTCCAAATGTTTTGCTTAATAACTTTTCGATAAGCTTTAATACCGGCCGGCATATTCACTCAAATGATTGACACTTGCATATTTTAATAAGCCATATACACTTGCGATAATCAGATAAAACAAAAAAGGTTAAGCAAAATTGACTGCATGCAACATAAAATGGGATGGTTATTTATTTGATAAATAAATATACAACTGCAGATTCAACCTAAAATGGGCGTAAAAAATGTATTTTTACGCTTTAAGTGCATATGGCTAATGATCATTCGTCTATTGCACTGCTTTGTTATACACATTGTTGTAGAACTGGGCTATGAGAAAAGCAGTTCAGTTTCGGTATTGTTTTCAATCAACAGCTATGGCCACACTGGCGTTGAAAGTTAATTGATGACTGAAAATAAATATAGACAATTTGAAAATAAATTTTAAACTGTTTTTTTTTCTCTTTTAAATTAACACATTAAAGCGAACATTATCTGAGCAATGCTGATAAGAGAATATGGGTTACCATATGCATTACGATTAAACTTAATGAAAATAGAATTTTGCCTTCATCCTGAATTTAAATATTTTCTTGCATATCATGCTATAAACATGTTTATCTTTGTGAAATGCATGATAAGTAAACGACCACAGTTGCAATGGACGAATGCTGAAGAAGTTAATTGGATTAATGAGATAAGAAAGCAATGAAATATAAATTGGTAGACATGGCTAGCGTGTCATACATAGTCTTTGTGGAATTGCATTCGATTGCCTTTAATGTATTTGAATGCTTGATTAGATTATTTTTACAATTTGCCAAATTCGAGCACACACATGATACACTTGAAAGTGTTCTTAGAATAACACCTAAAGTATTATTGCTGAGGATATTGCCGTTGACCCACAATGGGTATTTTGCAGAACAAGTACATATGTATATACATATGTAGTAGATTTTCACAGCAACAGATTCCACTTGAACTTGCAATTCTCACAGCATATGATTCGTGATATACTTATGACAGTTATACCGACGGCGCGTTTGAATCAATTAAAGTGCAAGCAATTGATCAAGTCAAGCTGGGTGGGGTTTGACGTGTGTATGTGGCAGATATATATCATATATATATACATATATATCGTAGTGCTTCTTAGTAACGTGCGCACAAAAGATTCAATCATGGAAACTTTACTCGAGCACAAAGATCACAAAATGTTCTTGTTTATAGATTATTACTTATTTATATTAAAACTAATATAGATATAGATATATCTTAATGTCTATAAATCCTCGTGTATAATGCAGATAACGGTCAAAGCTTATACAGTTATCGATGTTCGTCATATGTCGATAGTCTATAACAATACGCACCCCCAAGTATATAAATATGACACATTCATCATTGTTTTGTCTTTAAGCAATATTTATCTGTTCACGGTAAAAAAAAACTTAAGTATCCACCTTTATTTGTAATTTAATTGATGTACTCACATCGATAACGCCTTATGTGTGTTGCCATCATATATCCCACCGCAAGCTCACGTTCACGCTCTCAACTAACTCAAAGGAAGCTTTCATTCAGTGTTTTTATATCTGGCAATGCCGCGCGCGTGTATAAAAGTGGGCCGCTTGCGCGAGCTTTCAGCAGTGGTGGTCTGATTCTCGTGTATCTCAACCAAGTAAACGCGTTACGCAGCAAAATGGCATCTTTCATTGGCAAGAAATACAAGCTGGACAAGTCCGAGAACTTTGATGAGTACATGAAGGAGCTGGGTAAGTGATTAGCTAGGATTTTATTAACTGTTGTGTACTGTAATATTGCAAATGGTATTACGTATCTAATGGCACGTGTGGCCGAGAAAGTGGAGTGAGCAAGCAAGAGCGTGAGAAAGAAGCCGAAAAAACACAGCAGAAAAAAAGCCGCTAGCCGGCCGGCAAAAAAAAAAAATTCGCTCTGTGCAGATGTGCAAGAGAAAGAAGATGGGGAGAATCACTGAGAATGAAAAACGTGGTTGCAAAAACATGTTAGTTTTTCTACAGTTTTATGGGCTGCTCCACTTTTTGGCAGAGTTACCCGACGAATCAGGTGCAAAGCGCATAAAAGTCATAAAATGCTTATCGGGCAGGAGGTAATGGGTAATGGGGGGCAATAAACTTAAAAACTAATTAAAATTAAGTGTGTACTTTACTCAATGAAGGTTTTCTATTACTTACGACCACCTGAATTGTTAATTACAACATTATACTATACTATTCCATAAGTGGATGCACGTCTGTGCATTTCTTTGTGTATTGTATTTAGACTCTGTTCTGGAAAAAAGATTATTTTATTCCCACTAGCAGGGGAATTGCGAATTCCCATTGCTAAAGAGAACAAAAATAGATAACTAACAGTTTAAATTGATAGATGAAGGTATATATATATTTTTAACGAACCGTTAAAATCCTATTTTTTCCATAGATCACCGAGAGTTATAACTTTTCCATTAGTAATATATTTTTTAAAGCTTTCGTTTTTGCACCGCAGATGTAGTTTTAATCGTGCTTAATTTAAAAAAGAAACGTGCGCCCAGTCATCCAGTGATTTGTTTAGAAACCCGCCGTGTACTTTGTTCTGTTTAGTCTAGTCTGAGTCAAAGTTGGGGGAGAAATTGGTAATCCGATTCGATACGCATTATGTGACTCGGTTATTTTGTTATTTTCTGCGGTCTTTTGTGGTTGGAGGAAAACTCAAATCACAAACGAGATCTCGTTTTTCAACGTCGAACGACACTTTGAAGAGGTTTGAATTACCGGGTTTTTAAAGAAAATAACTCTCGAAAATGATTGTTGAGACACGTCAATAATACTTGTATTTATCTGATTGAACGGTGTACCCAAAGTATATAGTACAAATGATAAACATTATAGCTACATACATACATATATGCAGCTCAATGATAATAATGATAATTTAGTTTTGAGATTAGGAATTTATTTTTGCACTTTGCACCTTATCAATATGTTGCTGTATGGCAACAATTAGTGCGATTTTTTTTTTGTTTGCGAACTGTTTTCTAATCTATTCCAGTCCAAAGAAGCGATATACAAAAGTTTTTCATTGATTATGCACAGTTGTAAAGGTTCCCACAAATTATCTATAGATAGGAGGCGATGGGAACTCACCGAACCATAAAACACTTGAGACCAAAAGGTTGTCCACTTTTAAAATTGGACAAATACATAATTGAACATAATTGATTTGTCTGTGCTGATGGATAGTCAAAAGGCACAGTTCTCTCTCTCTCTCTCTCTCTCTCTCGCTTTGTAGAGTTTGCATACGTATGTATGCATACATGTGTGTGCCTTTTATATATATATCAATATCATGTATACTATATGCTCTTGTGCATTGCGATAAGGTCGCTTGCATTTTACGTTGCTCGTACAGTTTTGCTATATTTAGGCTGACCAATTGATAAGTACCGGAGGCTGTGCGTCCGTCTGCCCCAGTCTATCCCCTGGGCCCGTATTGTTAACCTTGAGCATGACTCTGGGTCTGGTCTGGCCCGGGTTATTTGCTGGCAACTTCATAATTTAGCTTTATTATTTCAATTAAATACAATATGATTTGCATTGTGTGTGGGTCTTCAACTTTGACTGGGTAATTCAATTAGTAATTGCTTGAATCTTCAGGCTCTTGGAATGTATATATTTATACAGATTCATATTATTATAGGACACAGTTTTAAGCTGTCGTTGACTGCAAAACTATACTATTCACCCGAGCTATGAAACTAGCTTACGCATATCAGTTTTTTATTTAAAACATATGTATATTAATTCTGAAATTTCCTAATTTTGTAGGCGTTGGCATGGTACTGCGCAAAATGGGCAACACTGTCAGCCCCACTGTTGAGGTTACCTTGGAGGGTGACACCTACACACTGACCACCACGTCCACATTCAAGACCTCTGCCATTAGCTTTAAACTGGGCGAGGAGTTCGATGAGGAGACTCTGGATGGTCGCAAGGTTAAGAGTGTCATCACCCTCGATGGCAACAAGCTGACACAGGAGCAGAAAGGCGACAAGCCCTCGACCATTGTGCGCGAGTTCACCGACAGTGAGCTGATTACCGTAAGTTCAACCAGACTCTGACTGTACTTTCGATCCTAACTCTCTCTTTTTCCATCTCTCTCTCTCTCTCTCTCTCTCTGTTACAGACCCTCACCATTGGCAGCGTGAAGAGCGTGCGCGTCTACAAGGCAGTCTAAGCAACAGCATTTCGGCTGCAAAACATGACTGAATTATCAACTGTCTAAACTAAAATTTGCATTACGAACTAATTCCCAGCTTAGTAACATAATGTTATTGAATAACATAAAAACCAAACAAAAATATGAAAAGAACTGCACTTTAATTCTAATGTTTATTTATAAACACATGCATATATTGCATATGTGCATGTAAATGACATGTGAAAATTTTCAAAATGCATTTGAATAAAATTAATATTTCGCTTTTAGTTTCAAGTTTTTTGAAAATAAAAAAGGATCTTGTAAATCGTAAACATCAGGACTTAAAGTTAATTTAGAGCAATTGCATTTGAATTGGATTTAAGTCATATAATATATGTCTTAATTATACTGCACAACTGCTAAGCTTAGATCTGATTTATATGGTAATGGAATCGAACCTTGGGTACTTGGGCGGGCCCTTACCGCACGTGCTGTATGCTGATGTTCCAATTGTATCCGATAATACAAAGTTGGCTTTTGTACAGGGTCGAAGACTTGTTTGTCGGCGGCTTTGCTTGATATTATATCAGGTTTACATGGGAACGAATTCAATTCGCTTATGTGTTTTTAAGCATACTGCAGAAATCTCAAGTTGTTAGAGACATAGTAAAATGTAATGCGGATCCTACGCATTTCCTGGCGTCACTGTAACTGCTGATGTCAGCACATGAAGAACTTTGTTTGTGTGGGTGAGTGTCATGCGCAGTTCAGTTATGAGAGGCAACAGTGACTAACCTTACGGAATTTGGTTGCGTTAACAGTTACAGTTTGCCGGTTCCAGTATAGAGTATAGTATCATCCACATGTCTGCTGATTAAATAAAAAGTATGGTAAATAATAAAAAAATTAAATACTCATACATAATGTGCTATAAACTGATAACAGTTATATCGATTCGTAGGCGAAAGATAAATAACGGTGTATGACTTGAGCTAATCAACAACAACAGCATATCACATGTACACGTGCCTGTGTGTGCGTGCTTGCATTGTGTAATCGCTGCAAAGCTAAGACGAAAAAACTGTTGTCTACTTTGCGGCTGTTTACTGCGCGCTTATTTAAACACTTGAAAAAATCATTTCTGTCTACGCTCCGCTTAACTAGCGCAAGGGCGAGCTTTTCCAGTTGAAAAAGCTCCGGTAAGTTTGGCCAAACGGGTTTTGCTCATGAAGAGGCACAAATCTTTTTTTCTGCCGCGTCGTCATAAACAAAAAAAATCTAGTATCACGCCATAGCCGTTACTTTAGCTCTCCGGCGTCGCGTCGGCACGCTCTTCTTCTCGAACTCGCTCTCGCTCTCGCTTTGCCGCTTGATCGCCAGTGAGCAGCAGCAGTTGGTTGGTGTCTGCTTGTTTACAAATGTGCTGCTTATTTGAATTTTTGTAGCTTTCTCTTGTGATTGGAAAATGGAATTTGTTTTTTCCATAGCATGAAGGCAGTTGAGTCGCTGCCCTAGCCGTGAACGCGTCGCCGTCGCATTCCAATCAGCTCATACAGAAGCAACCAAAGAGTTCCAGTGCCACGGAAGTTCGAATATTGCATTTATACAATTATAATTAAGTGAGTTGAATTGAAGCAACAGGCTTAGAATTACAGTGCATTTGTTTCCAATCAGAAATGTCGATCGAATAGCGGCGACAGCTCTCCAACTTGAAGCTTACTGGAATTGGTATTGCGTGCGTGCGTGTATTTGTGTGGGTGCGCTCATTTCCAACGAAAAGTTATCATAAAACTTTGTTTATCTTTATCGGCAATGTTTGAGTTTGTTTAATTGTTATAAATATAGAGCGAAATTCCTGAACATGCAAAATAATTGCTATAGATTCCATAATTTATTATGTGACTGCAAAAATTATATAACAAGAAAAAAATTGTCAAGTGCAAAAAGCTCAAAAAGCGAATGGGAATTCTTCGGACATTCCCTTTTCCCTTTTCCACCCGTTTCGTTTCGAATCACTGTCATACGATCTTAAGTAATCGCAATCAGTTGCCGATGTTTCAAAAGTATTTGACAGACTTGTATAGACACATTTCTATCCATTATGTATTAGCTCCGACGACTTATACAACATAGATTTCGATGTTGAACTTTGATTTCAAGGTGAAAAACGTCGCGATAAAATCATGAATTGTCACGAAACAAGCAGACGTTATAGATTAGCTATAAACCTAACCTTAACAAGGTTCTTGCCATATTTGAAATATGTGAGAAAGGGGTATATTGATTTAGTGAAATACCTAGGGGATGAACGTTAGTTATTCAAACTGGAGATTCTACAATTTGGATAACAGTTTTTTGAAAAATTAACATGAGTGTGTTCTAAAATTTAGGAGCTGGTCAGTTAATTTTACAGGTACATTGGACACTTAACTTTCAAGGATCAAGCCAGATTTATTAGCGTCAATATTTCCTAAAAAGACACAGTTTGAAGTGGGCATAAAAGGTCCATTTCTTGCATGTTCTATGCATCCAATGATAATGTTACCTCCAAAACTTGTTTTCCGAATGTATTTATAGCCTCCCCCCATACATCTCCTGCACACTCGGAACTTGCCCATTTTGACAAGAAACTCCCCCTGAAATGGATTTTTTAATCTATCTAAATTTAGTTCAAGCACCGTGCTCTTTAAAATTTGTTGTAGATGAATTTTTGAATTGTTTTTTTTTTTTTTTTTTTTTTTATAAGCACATAACACCTATGACCACGGAAAAGATCATGTATTACAATAGCTTAATCGCGTTCTTATTTTCCGAATTTCACGGTTTTGCTAGGTCAGAGCTTGACATGGATCGCCACAGACTGTCCACGTTTATGAGCCCCTTCCAGGCACGCCCCTGGATGATAAGCAGTGGCGCCGCTGCGGCGCCCAGTGGTGGCTCCAAGGGATTGAAGGGTATCATTGCCGGCGGCATAACCGGCGGCATTGAAATCTGCATAACCTATCCCACCGAATACGTGAAGACGCAACTGCAGCTGGACGAGAAGGGCGCCAATAAACGCTACAATGGCATTGCAGATTGTGTGAAGAAGACGGTCCAGCAACGGGGCTTTTTCGGGCTCTACCGAGGCCTCAGCGTGCTCATCTACGGCAGCATACCCAAGTCGGCAACCAGGTGAGTTTCCACTCGAGTTCGTAGCTGATGCCAGGCTAAGCGCTTTTAACCCCTTGCAGATTCGGTGCCTTTGAATTCCTGCGATCCAACTTCGTCGACTCTCAGGGCCAGCTTAGCGGCTCAGGCAAGCTGTTATGCGGCATGGGGGCTGGCGTGTGTGAGGCTATCATTGCGGTCACGCCCATGGAAACAATTAAGGTGAAGTTTATCAACGATCAGCGCAGTCCGAATCCCAAGTTCAAGGGCTTTGCCCATGGCGTCCGTGAAATAATCAAAACGGAGGGCATCAGCGGCATCTACAAGGGTCTCTCGGCAACCATCATGAAGCAGGGTTCCAATCAGGCCATTCGCTTCTTTGTCATGGAGTCGTTAAAGGATCTGTATAAGGTAACTTCATACTTGAGATCTGTATTCAATTTGAATTATGCTTTTAAATCGTTGCTGACAAAAAGATTGATTTGATTTATTACACATTTGTCACATATTGATCTCTTCAAATTTCAAGGTATGCTTGACACACATTTCTAAGATTTCTAATTTGAAATCAATTTGCATTTAAAAATTGAAAACCCCAATTCTAGTATTTTATGAAAGCAACGAAGCTTCCTTTTTGAAAATTCAGAATTTTCAAAATTTGATTCCATTTTATGATAGCATAACACGCAATATTGAGCTCATTTTCTAGCTCTAGATATTACAAGTTTTTACTTATAGGGCCTTCTAATTCTAAACTTTATCCCACATTTTAAGCCCAAACCTATTTTTGTAGTGGAAAGAATTTCAACCAGCTTTTTTCTTTAATCTTTGATCTTCTAATCTTAACTTTATCTCAGATTTTTTTTAATCTGAATCGCGATTTTTGTGTGTTTGAAACCTGGTTTTATCTGTAAACTTGTCATAAAAAGATTTAAATTAAGTACCCACCTTTAATTATCTTCTCTGCAGGGCGGTGATCATAAAAAGCCGGTGCCAAAATTGTTGGTGGGTTTGTTTGGTGCCATTGCGGGAGCCGCATCCGTGTTCGGCAACACACCCTTGGATGTGGTTAAGACCCGTATGCAGGGCCTCGAGGCAGCCAAGTACAAGAATACGGCGGATTGTGCAATGCAAATATTTAAGAACGAGGGCCTGGCGGCATTCTACAAGGGCACGGTGCCGCGTCTGGGACGCGTGTGCTTGGATGTGGCGATTACGTTCATGATCTACGACTCCTTTATGGAAATATTTAACAGCATCTGGAAGGGCTAAATTTATGTTTAAGTGCTAGTAAACGTCGTGCATGCTAAATTGACCTAGTCAACTATAACAATACTGGATACACACACACACACATACGCACACCCACGCCCAAACGAGACATAAAGTTAATTCTGCATGAACCTATACAAATTGTGTCTGTGCAGATCACTTCGCAACGAACTGTAAATAGCCAATAAAATTCATTGTACAACTAAGAAACGTTTGTTTTTCAGAAACTATGCCCAGGCTCGAAACTAAAACAGTTACTAACCAAGAGCTAATATTAAACAAAATCCAAATCATATCAAATAGCTCGAGTAAAATGATTTACATTTAATTTAAAAGAGAAGAGTCCAAGTCAAACACAGACTCGACTGTCTCATTTGTGTGAATGAGTGGCATTTGATATTATCTAATTAAAGGTTATATATATATATATATATATCTATGAGCTTGCACCATTGGATAGAGAGATTAGGCTAGAACTAGTCGATAAGCAGCTATCGTACCACGTTCAGTGGAATGGACGCATGTTTGCTGCTGAGTATGCGGGCCAGCGTCTCGTCCAGCGGCGGGCTGAGCTCCTGCCAAATGCATTTGCCAATTAGCGAAATCTCCTCAAGCGGCGGCCTAAAGGCCACCAGCAGATTCAGGCAGATGCCATCGGTGCACTCATCGCTGCTTGTTGCATGCTCCACGCTGAGCAGGCCGTGTGGCCGATGCTGCGGCAGCTCGGCGCCAAATATTTCAATCATGAATTTACGCAGTGTCGAGTGCAGGCTGCGATTCGGATGCAGTTCGACGGTCGGAAAATGATGCGTATTCTTCTCACTGATGAGTATGTTCATCGAGTTGCTAGCACGTTTGCGTGCCACGGCAAGCACACGCATATAGTTGCGCTTGTGCGGATGACGTGTGGGCAGCACGCTGCCATGCCACTGCGGCTGGTGTGGAACATTCGGCTGCTGCTGTGCCTGCTTCTGGTGCTGATGATAGGCGCGTCCGATTTCAATGATGCTCAGTATATCGTTGGCACGCAGCGGCACCTCTTTGGGATTGCGCAGCCACAGAGCTTGTATTGACTCCGAGTCCGCATCGGCGGGCGTTTTAAGCCGTCCGCCCGTTATGCGACCCGTTAACACAAAGCGAAACCAGGAGCCACCGGCCGATTCCACGGCCAGCAATGTGGTCATTTCTGCATTGAGGCCTGTTTCCTCGAACAGCTCACGTGCCGCTGCCTCTGTGATCGACTCGCCCTTTTCCATGCGACCTGCCGGCAGATACCATTTGCCTGATGAAAAGTAAAACAAATCATATTTCATTCCACATTGCCAAATCGCTTGGTTGACTCACCTGCACAGCTGGGCTTGGCCTCCTCAATCATGAGTAGCTCGTCGTGCTCATTGAACAGCACACAGGCCACAATATAGTTGATCGTTTGCCCGACCTGGGGCACAAAGTCGGCCGTCGCCGATGGCTGCACGCCTTGCGCCTCGGCCGTGGCATTCTGCTCTTTCAGCGAGAAATCGCATAGTTCTGCTGTTATATCGCCCAGATCTTTGGCGTTCAGTATGCTGCGCACTTTCTCCTCAATTGAAGACATCTTGTTTGTGTATATAAATATATATATAGTGACATATCCATAGTCGCACCCACCCTTTAACATATCTTAGCACATAAGCATAAGCACAATTATAAACATTTCTAATATTGTAAACAAAGAGCCTGGTGATAACATCGACATTGGTCAAGATCAAACTGTCCCCCTTTGGTAGACATAAACAATTCACCCTAAATATCACGCCACTGTCAATGTTCCCATCAGAGTACTATCCCACGCATAATTGCTGACGCAGCTCAAACTTCACTCAATTTTGACTCAAACTCTCTCAAAGCGAAGTTTGCTAAGCGACCGCAACAGTTAGATAAATCAGTTCTTATTCGGGAAGCAAATCTGAATGTACTCAACAAAAGTAGCCGTTAAGTGAAAATAATAAATTGAAATATATTTTTTATAGTAACCTAACGTGTAAAACTTAATTGGCGCAGCCGGTAGGATACGTCGGGAAAAATTAAAGATCGCTAAAGGATAATTAATTCCCAGATCTAACGCACAATCGCGACCGAAAGTGTTGTCGGAGTGTAATAAAAATTTTCTCGAATACGTATCCGCACAAGAACCTTCGGGTCATTAGTAGCTTAATAATATTGACCCTTTGGGCAATAAAGCTACTACAGTTAATAACGACTGGATTTGCATATCGTTTGATCCCTGCAATACGTTATTACTGAGTCTTTTTAAGACACACACACAAAAAAAAAAAACATTTAACCAATAATCCATCACAAACTTTAACCTAAAATAAAAGTGCAAAATCAAAGAACAATAAAGTTCAAACCTACAAACTCAAAACTATTCAAAAAAAGTGTATTACATCAAGATGACCATGGAATTATCAGAACAACACCTCAACCAGGCCCTTTCACAACTTAGACAGGTGCCAAGCTTTGACGGATCAACGGATCAACTAAACGCCTTCATTAAAAGGATAGATTACATCCTACACCTGTATCCAACCCGAGATGTTAGACAACATAGCATCTTATACGGAGCCATCGAATTGCAAGTCACAGGAGATGCTCAGAGAATATCACAAAGGACAGCAGCCAACACTTGGCAGGAGCTGAGAAACGCATTGATTGAAGAATACAAAGTGCAGACACCATTTGAAGAACTCCTTCGACGCTTATACAACACGAATTACCAAGGAAACGTCCGTAAGTTCATCGAGGAGCTCGAAAATAAATCTTTTGTTATATTAAATAAGTTAGCACTAGAAAATATACCTAGCAATACAACCCTTTATACAAATGCTATGAATAACACAATCAAAGATGTTATTACAAAAAAATTACCAGATAGGCTTTTCATGATGTTAGCCAGACACGACATTACGTCGACACAAAAACTAAAGCAAGTAGCTCAAAGAGAGGGATTATATGAAAATAGCGTTACTGAAAAACCTAAAAATAATAATGTTCAGGGAAATCCAAATAACAATCGTAGGAACATGGGAAATTATCAGCAAAATGCTAACCCAACCACCATTTCAAGTGGTTATTCCAACACGAATCAGAGTTATCACGCACAAAATAAACAGCATAATAAGTCCGAAGACAATCAGAAAGCTCACCACGAGTTCCAACAGAAATTAAGTCAAGGTAGATACCAAAATCCCTTAAACTACCAAAATCAGTCCCATTCACGCTTGAATGCACCAAACCCTCCGACTAAACGTCAAAGAGATAGTAACAGTGGGCAGATGAAAATGGATACATCCGAAAATTTTCATCAGCAAGCCTCGGAACAAACAGAACAAATCCATTCATAAAATTGATTATGAATGACGAAGTTCTAAAATGTGTCATCGACACAGGTTCAACCATAAATCTAATGAAAACAAACCGCTTAAATTTTCCAGTTTACAACGAAACATTAAAGGTTCACACCATAAATGGTGTTATTGAATTAAAACAAAGTATACGCTTAGGAGCAAGCAAAATTTGTCCGAGCAAACAAAAATTCTATATTCACGACTTCTCAGAGCATTATGATGTTCTGATTGGGAGAGAATACCTTGAGGCATGTCAAGCAAAAATAGACTATGCACAAGGATCCGTAACCTTAGGAGAATTTAACTTTTGTTTTAGATATAACGACGAAGAGGTCGAAGAGGACATGACCGCACAAGAGTGCCTTGATCCACCCTCAACAGAGGACAGACCATTTAACTTCGCTATTAATAATGAATTAATAGAAAACAATGAGTTTAGGCTAGAGCACCTAAACTCAGAAGAAAAAGAAAAAATAAAAAAAGTTTTACATGAATTTCGTGATATCCAGTACCATGAAGGTGACAATTTGACTTTCACTAGTACAATTAAACACAAAATTCTAACAAAACATGAGGACCCAATTTACAAGCGTCCATACAAATATCCTCAAATATACGATGAGGAAGTAAATAAACAAATAAGCGATATGATAAAACAAAATATCATACGTAAATCCAAATCCCCTTACTGCTCACCAGTAATAATCGTTCCAAAGAAAAACGATGCATCTGGAAAGCAAAAGTTCCGGTTAGTCATAGATTACCGCAATCTCAATGAACTAACTATTAATGATAAATACCCTATCCCGATCATGGATGAAATATTAGACAAACTTGGAAAATGTCAATATTTCACAACCATTGATCTAGCCAAAGGCTTCCACCAAATCCAAATGGATCCTGGTTCAATACCCAAGACCGCATTTTCGACTAAACATGGCCATTACGAGTACACTCGCATGCCATTTGGTCTTAAGAATGCACCTGCAACGTTCCAACGTTGTATGAACAATCTCTTAGAAGATTTAATTTTTAAAGATTGTCTGGTCTACTTAGACGACATTATTATTTTTTCCACTTCATTGGAGGAACACATTTTGTCGCTACAAAAGGTATTTAAGAAGCTTAGAGAAGCTAACTTAAAACTACAGTTGGATAAATGCGAGTTTATGAGAAAAGAAACTGAATTTCTCGGTCACATCATCACAACTGAGGGTATAAAACCAAATCCCAACAAGATACAAGCAATTGTCAAATTCCCAATTCCAAAAACCCCAAAAGAAATAAAATCATTTCTAGGATTATGTGGTTTCTATAGGAAATTTATACCAAATTTCGCTAATATAGTAAAACCATTAACACTTAAATTAAAAAAAGGAGCAAAAATCAATATAAAAGACAGAGACTACGAACTAGCGTTTGAAAAGCTAAAAGTACTCATAACATCCGACCCAATTTTAATATACCCTAACTTCGAAAAACCATTTTCATTAACTACAGACGCGAGTAATATGGCAATAGGGGCCGTCCTTTCGCAAGAGCATAAGCCTATATGCTATGCAAGTAGAACTCTCAACGAGCATGAGTTAAATTATTCAACGATTGAAAAAGAATTATTAGCAATCGTTTGGGCCACTAAATACTTTAGGTCCTATCTCTTTGGTCGACAATTTCAAATCCTTAGTGATCACAGACCACTCGTCTGGTTAAATAATATGAAAGAACCTAACATGAAATTACAAAGGTGGAAGATCAAGCTAAATGAGTTTGATTTCCAAATTAAATACGTCCCAGGAAAAGAAAATTATGTGGCAGATGCTCTGTCCAGAATTCAATTAAACGAAAACTTCTTAGGCGAAGATACAATTAGCACAAGAGCAACAATACATAGTGCTCAAGAAGACAACAGTAACCATTTACAAATCACAGAAAGACCACTTAATTATTATAATCGACAAATAGAATTTGAAAAAGGAACCGAGAACGAAACAAAAGTTACGAATTACTTTCACAAAACCAACATAAAAATTACGTACAAAGACATGACTAATACGCATGCCAAAGAATTAATAAAAGAATACTTATGCACAAAGAAAAGTGTGCTATACTTCCACAACGAAGCAGATTTTCCAATTTTTCAAGAAGCCTACTTAGAAATAATAAGTCCGAATAATTCAACAAAGGCAATGAAAACTAGTACAAAATTAATAGACCTTCAAACATACGCAGAATTCAAAGAATTAATATTAAAAAAGCACAAAGAATTATTACATCCAGGAATTGAAAAAACTATCAATTGGTTCAAAGAAACCCACTATTTCCCAGATTATCAAAATTTAATTCAAAATCTAATAAATGAATGTGAGATTTGCAACATCGCAAAAACAGAACACAGAGATACAAAATTAACTTTCGAAATAACTCCGGAAATCGCTAATATCCGAGAAAAATATGTAATGGATTTTTACATAGTAGGAGATAAACAATTTTTATCTTGCATTGATATCTATTCAAAATTTGCATCATTAATAGAAATAAAAAGTAGAGACTGGCTAGAAACCAAACGAGCTATATTACAAGTGTTCAACCAAATGGGTAAACCCATCGAAATAAAGGCAGACAAAGACTCAGCTTTTATGTGCACAGCTTTACAATTATGGCTAAAATCAGAAGCAGTAAATATTAATATAACCACTAGTAAAAATGGTATATCCGACGTAGAACGATTTCATAAGACAGTTAACGAAAAACTAAGAATCATTAACAGCGACTCAGACGTCGAAAATAAACTTACAAAATTTGAAACTATACTCTACACGTACAATCATAAAACAAAGCACAAAACGACTAACAGAACACCAGCGGACATATTCATATATGCAGGTACACCAGAGTATGACACTCAAGCTAATAAAGAAAAACTAATAAATAATCTCAACAAAAAACGAACAAATTATGAAATTGACACTAGATACAAACACTCACCGTTAGTTAAATCAAAGACGACAACCCCGTTCAAGAAAACAGGAGAACTAAGACAAATCGACGACAAACATTTTGAGGAAACTAACAGAGGCAGGAAAATAACACATTACAAAACCAAATTCAAAAAGAAAAAGAAGACTAATCAAAGCAAATATAACAATTACAGGTCAACAACAGACAGCGATCAAAACATACAAGCACCAGCTTAAATTAATTATTATAATATTACTATCAATAACTGTAAACTATATAAATGCACAGAGTATTGAAATTAATCCTATCAAAGCCCATAACGGATATCTCATATTTAAAACAGGAACCATAGACATTCCGACAGATTACGAATTCCACTGTTTAACGGTTAATATAACAAAAACCGAAGAAACTTTTAACAATTTAATTGAACAAAGTAAAGAATTCAATAACCTTATACAAATCGAATACCTAGTAGAAAAATTAAACAGAGAAATAAACGGCTTAAAAATAGCCAAACGCAGCAAAAGAGGTTTAGTTAACATAGTAGGAACAGCATATAAATACTTATTTGGAACATTAGATCAAGAAGACAAAGCAGAAATTGAACAAAAAATAAGCAACTTAGCAGAAAACAGCGTTCAGGTTAACGAATTAAATTACATAATAGAAGCTATAAACAAAGGAATAGAAATCATGAACGAACTAGATCAAGAGAAACAAAAAGGAAAGAAATTAGATATCCTTATATTTAACTTACAACACTTTACAGAATATATAGAAGACATTGAGATGGGAATGCAGCTCACAAGATTAGGAATTTTTAACCCAAAATTACTAAAACATGACTATTTGTTGCATGTTAATTCTGAGAAATTGTTGAATACAAAAACTTCCACTTGGTTTAAATCAGATACAAACGAAATACTTATAATATCCCATATTCCTCGAGAAATAATAAAAAGCCCGGTATTCGAAATAATTCCATACCCGGATGAAAATAATAATATTTTGACAGAAATAGCTCATGAAAAATATTTTACCCAAGATAAAAAAGTTTATAGCAGAGAAACAAAAAAATTAATTAATAATGAATGTTTAACAGGAATTTTAAACCAAATAACATCAGAATGTAGTTATACTAAAATTTTGCAAAATTTTCAAATCAACTACATAGAACCAAATATAATTTTAACTTGGAATTTACCAAAAACTATATTAAACCATAATTGTATAAATAACGAAATAACAATAGAAGGAAACAATATAATAAAAATCTTTAATTGTTCATTGCAAATTAATGAAATTTCAATTTCAAACAATATGTTAGATTATACTCAAAGCATTTACGTAAGCAATGATGTTATAAAATTAGAACCACTTTCGTTTGTACAAACGAAACAAATTATAAATGCACATACAAAATTTAACAATGTATTCCAGATAATTACAATAACCATATTTGTAATCATATTAATAAGTTTAACACTGTATTTGACATATAAGTTCAAAAGCATACCTAAGAAATTAATTATAAAATATAAAAAACCCAAAGTAGAAGAAACACCTACAATAATAGGAGATATACCAATTGTAAAAGAAGAAAATGTTACACTATATCCAAACTTAAACACCTGAGGACAGGCACTTTTCTAATGGTTGGGGGAGTGACATATCCATAGTCGCACCCACCCTTTAACATATCTTAGCACATAAGCATAAGCACAATTATAAACATTTCTAATATTGTAAACAAAGAGCCTGGTGATAACATCGACATTGGTCAAGATCAAACTGTCCCCCTTTGGTAGACATAAACAATTCACCCTAAATATCACGCCACTGTCAATGTTCCCATCAGAGTACTATCCCACGCATAATTGCTGACGCAGCTCAAACTTCACTCAATTTTGACTCAAACTCTCTCAAAGCGAAGTTTGCTAAGCGACCGCAACAGTTAGATAAATCAGTTCTTATTCGGGAAGCAAATCTGAATGTACTCAACAAAAGTAGCCGTTAAGTGAAAATAATAAATTGAAATATATTTTTTATAGTAACCTAACGTGTAAAACTTAATTATATATATATATATGTATATATATATATATATATAGGATATATATGGTTATATGTGGCCTAATGTGAAAGCGGATTTAGAACATTTTTCTTCTTTAGTTTTTTTTTTGGATGGACTGACAAACTTACGTTTAGCACAAAATTCCGTGGCGTAATGACTCAATTGGAGAAACATGCTCGGCCAGGGCTATGCATATAGCAAAAATTTATGCAAATTATGAATTCTTAAAGCGCGAGAGTATCGAGAAACGCACTCAAGAGTGGGCAAGATGTGACTGGCCAATAAAGACGGCTAAAGACAGCAATCAGCGTGCTTGATTTTCGATGTTGTTGTGGCTGTTGCGGCACACAGGTGCTTAGTAGTCTGCTAACAACACAACACATAAGCGCGACAACGTATTTGGCCTGTATTTTTCTATTGATATCGAATAGATGTCAAAAACAACAACAAGAACAGCAACAAAAAGCCGCAAGACTGGTTTTACACCATTGAGAGAAAGTGCATTGGAATGCTTGTGTCGCGGCTGGTCGCTCTGTTTTTCCTGCTGCTGCACATCAGTTAGAACATGTAGTTGCTGCACAGCTGGCAGCCAATTATTTCGCACATAAACTGAGCACAAACACACGCAATTGGTTGTCTTGTTTCTTTAATTACAAATTTGTGGTATTTGTGTTATGGCAGTATTCGATAATCTGGCAGCACTCTACATTTGTTTACAATTGCGCGGAAGTGTGACCGTTTCTTTGTTTTGCCAAAAATACCTTAAAAATATACCAAAAATTGGTATTGACTGAAAACAGCTGTTTGGCATTTGGCTCAGCGTTTTAAAGGGCGCCACAAGTTAAATAAATCGTTATTTTTTAAAAGTACATATATTTTTTTTATAAGTTTGGCTGAGTATGCTAACTGCTGCACCCTAATAACACACGCACACCTGCACACATATGCTCTGACAATAACAATCATTCAATTCCTATTGAAAATTAGCTAGCTAAACAGCAAAAGGGCGGCACACTTGATGGATTAATGCAATTTTGGTAGATAAATGTGTTGTTGTATTTAACATTACGCACTTATTGTGTAGGCGAGAGACCGGAAAGTGCGCCACTGATTGCTGGCAATAAAATTTGAATGCGGAAATTCCATTGTTTACCCAAATCGATCATCATTAAAAGCGTTTGCCATTCGCAAGTGCGAATTGCTCGAATCCGTGGCGTATACTTAACATAGTCATTGTGCTGTGGGTGGTCCCAAAAGCACAGGGCGGCCCCATTGTAGGTAATTCAATTTTTTTTTTTTCGGGATGAATGCTCGATACGTTATTAGCAGGCTGGCTGCTGCTGTGTGTGTGTGTGTGCGTGTGTGTGTGTGTTGGAGAGAGTGTGTGGGTGTGAGTGTCTATTTTCAAGAAGCCGCAGCTTGTTTATGTATGAAACATATATGTTTATTTATGTATGTATATGTGCGCCATATAAGACTTTGTCATTACATTGTTAATTTGTTTTAGTTGTTTTTTAATTTCCTTAGAGACTCGCAAAACTCATAGAAGCGTGCTTCTGCGAGTGTGTGCGTGTGTGTGTGTGTGTGTGAGTATGAGTTTGAGTGTGTGCCCTAATGTACTGAGTGTGGGTGGTAATAAGAGCCAAAGTAAAATGCTGATAAAGTGGTGAATGCTGTGTGTGTGTTTGGAATGCGTTGCGAGTGTTCGGCGCGATGCGATGACAAGCAGAAGCGAACACAAAACGTTCATTTCCCACAAGCGCCATTATTCGTTAAAACCCGTAAATTTTGCTCGAAGCTAACACACGCTCACCCACACACACGCACGTTTCTGGCAGCAACAACAACAACAACGTAAACAACTAGCAGGCAAGAAGCTGCTGCTAAACACGAATATAATGTTTAAAATGTTTATTATGTGTGTGCAAGTGACGCGCGCTGCCAGTGAGACCAGTCGCGACCAGACAAGCACTCGCATATGCTTGGCCATATAACTGTATTACATGCCAGCATATATATGTGTGTGTGTGTGTGTGTGTGTGTGCGCGTTGATTCTGCTTTTTGCCGGCAGCGACATTGACGCCGGATGTGAAACAAGTAGCCCAAATAAACCGCAATAAGCTTTTGTCACGATTAACAAGGCTTACGCAAATGCGTGAGGGTGCGAGCGAGTGCGAGCGAGAGCGAGACCAAATGGGTGCGAATGAGTGTGAGTGAGTGTGAGTGAGTAAATGCGTGTGTGGCTGAGCATAATTACATGCACATCGTTAGACGTCTCTCTGTGTTAGTGGTTGTGCGTATATGTGTGCCTGCGTGTGTCTTAGCCATATTTTCGATTAATGATGGCGTCGACTCGTATTAGGCAAATGAAGAAATCGACAGCGACAGGCCTTTGCGGTGCTGTGTGGTGGGTGGTGCGGTCCTCCTGGGCTGCCGCTTCTCTCAGCATATCCGCTAACAAATTTGCCACAACAATAAGTGCATATCATTATGCTGATTTAAGTGGCAGCACGGCACGTAGCAACCGCCACACATATCTATAGCAAGTTATTACGCGCACACCTGACCCGCGCCCACACACACACACACACATACACTCACACACAACAACAACAATAACACACTTTGTATATATTATACTTGGGTAGCTATGAGTATGCATGCAAGTGGGTACATAAATCTTTGTTTAAAGACACATGCACAATGTAAGTTAAATTGGCAATAACGTGCTTTTCTTTTATACGCCAGCTACAGACATACACAAACACACACACACACACACACACATGCATATGTAACGGTATAACGGTAACGGAACCTTGTTTGCAAGGAAGTAACAACCTGTTTTCACCCCATGTAGTGGGTTTCGCTTTTATGTGCGCCTTGCCTTGCCTCGCCTCGACTTTTCTTCGCCGCTATCGCGCCTTCCTCTCGCCGCCGCGCCCTGATCCGCAGCGCCTTGGCTAGGAGCTGAAACGTTGCCTGGCAAGGGGGGTTTATTTTTTGGTGGAGCCTGTTTTGGGCACGTTTACGGGGCGTTGCTGTTACTCCTGTTATGCTTTAATTATGCCCTTGTCAAAAGGTGGGTACGGCGCCCGGTTGCCCAGAACTTCGCTGCTTTTGTTATGCACACACACACACACACACACATATATATATATATATATATATATATACAGGATATATGCACACACATATAGTTATGTATGCTATTCATGTCGACGTCCAGTCGAGTTTGTCCACAGAAAACGCAAACATGGCCAAGTTTGCTAGAATAAAATGAAACCAACGAAAATAAAAAATTAAATTGAAATAATAAATAAAAAATAACAGAAACACATTTGTACAAACATACATCAAAATTTTCAAGTACTAATTGGTAGCTTGAGCTACAAACATTTTGCCATTTTTATGAGGCAGTCAACCAACAGTCTTTTCCCATAGAAAACCAGGCGAATTTCTAAAGAGTTATTTCACGGTTGACTGCTGTATAAAAGAGAAAAAAGTTAACAAAAGAAATATTTTCAGATATGAAGAAGAGTTAAGTGAATTTATTTTCATTGCATTTTATTGTCTAATAGCATTTTATCATGCTGTAAATTAGTGGCAATGTGGAACAAAGATGCTCTAGACATGCAGGAATTGTTTGCCAAACCAATTTCTACTTTGCCTTTAGTTACATAAAGTAATTTTCAGGAACCCATCTTCTTTCTATTGTGTTACATAATTTAATGGGATACTTAAGCTAAATAAAAGATAATCAATATGTTCTCTCACTTACTCTCACAAACATATTTAATACTTTCTTCAAAGTAAAACACGTTCAACTAACTAATCAGCAAAAGTTTTTTTTTTTTGGCTTGGGTTAGACAAAGGTCGCAGTTCAAGTATATAAAATCTGGCTGATAAACACATTGTCGCGCCGACCAAATTTTAACCAAATATTGGCCAAACAGACCCCAACTGCCAAATCTCTTTGTGACAACTTAAATGTGCGTATAAGTATATTTCCGTCCCCTTTCGTTGCGGTTTGTATTTGGTTTGGTTCTTGGGGCTTATTGCGATGTTACAGATTTGTTTGCATTTCATTTATGGGAAGCCCTCAGCGCATCCAACAAGCGGATTCCAAAGCGTAAGCGCATTCCGATGTGCGATTATGCTTGGAATTGCGTGTGGGCCATTTGCTGCAGATGATATGTGGATATGTGTGCTTGTATATCATAAACCGATATTTATATATACAAATATATATATATACATACATATTTCTATATACGGTATATACGGTGGAATATCTGTGGACACGCACTTCTGGGATCTGCTAGGCAGCTGTCCGCTTAACGAATAGAAATTATAGAAAATAAAATTTAAGTAAAATCTTTGATAAATTTCTTTCAGCTTAAGAATAATCTCAATTTTGACAAAGTTTGTGCTTGATTTAAGTCGCAATTGCGTGGTAGAATTTTTCTCTAAGTGTAATAAATAGAAGAAAATTATAGAATACTTGGTAATTATTTTACTTGATTTCAAACAAAAATTCATATTTTGGACTGTTTATAAATTCCATGCACATATTTAAGTCCAAATGCATTTATTTTGTATGCAAAAATTTGCTTCGTCCGCCAAAAGATTTTTATAATTAAAAGAAGAGATTTTGGACAAGAGTTGGGAGCAGAATTGAGCCGAAGTCAATTGATAGTCTGTAGGGGTTGTACGTTGTGAGAAGCGGTTCGTTCGCTTGTATTGACTTCACTGTACTTGAATATAAAACGGGTAATGACTGTTTTTAAGCTTCTTGCAGATATTTGGAGTCCAGATGTTTTTGTAAAGAAAATAAGCAAAAGTTGTCAACAAAATTGGGCCGAAGCAAATTGATTGTCGCAAGGAGTTGTCCGCTGCGCTGAGCTGTTCGTTTTTAAAGATTTCACTGTACGTGTACTCCATATTGGCAATGGCTGTTTATAAATTTCTTGTTTAAAAAGTTGGTCACAGCAAATTAGCCATAGCAAATTAATTGTCGCAAGGAGTTGAGCGCTGTAAGGAGCTGTTCGTTCTTCAAGGATTCACTGTACTTGCATTCAATACTGGCAATGGCATGTTGATACGCAATGGTTGGTCTTTGCGGGGGCAAAACATAATCTTATCGCAGAAAGCGTGCGCTTATCTCATTAAATGTCAGGAGACGCCATTGAATCATTTTACAAATGGCTGACTACATGTCGCATATGAATGCGGGCGGTGGGGCATGGCCGTCTGGGCGAGCACTTGAGCTACGCACACACACACAGAGTCACATATATATACACTAACACACGCACAGCGCAATTGCAGACAAATGAGATAATTTACACGCTGAAATGAAGCCCATAAAGGCTCATTTAAAATTCAGCGGCGTCTGGGGCATAATTTTTTTCCTGCTTTTTCCGCTGCTTCCTCTACATCTTTTCTATATATGTATGTGTATGTATCTGTGTTTCTATATATATATTTTGTTCCTTTTCTATGTTGTTTCGCTTCTGCATTCAGCTCTAGCATTTTACTTTGCTTTTTGTGCTTAATGGTTTTGTGCCATGACATACGTGGCTGGATATTAAAATGGGTGCCCCTCCTCTGCCCCTCCGCCTCCCTAGAGGTAGAACGACGAGAGCCAGAGCAGAACCAGAAGCTTTGCTTTGGCCGTGGCAAATGGCCTGGGGCACGACAGAAAATCTTT